GGAAAATATTTTTCTTATAGTTGATAAATAAATGTTTGCTGTTTGTTATAGGATGTTTTCTAAAGTGTCAGGGACAGCTGCAGGGAAGAAAAGGACCCTTATTTCCATGTGGGCGGCAAACCAGGCCCCCAAGAAGTCCTATGACCCTGAGAGAGCAGATAGGCCACAGGAAAAAACACAGGAACAAGAGGAAGAACTACTGTTGACACAGATAGATGAGCCCTCAGAGAAAGAGGGGACACCTGGTACAAAGACCAGAGCCCAGGGCGGTGCCGCAACATATAGGTGCTCTTTTAAAAATGAATGGTCACATAAATGGCCATTCATTACAAAGGGGACACTTATGGCGCATTTCCACTACACGGTCGGCCTCGGCCACACTCGGTACGGCTCGGTACGGCTTGGCCGCGTTGGGCCTTAACAGGGCCGACTCACTTCATGCTGCGCTTCCATTACAGTTTAGGAACTGGGGTAGTTACTATAGTAACGCAGTGTAGGCGGAGCCGTGACGTCATCTTCAATGAGAACTCCAGAAACACAACACAGCCGTTAGCTGTTAGCACTCAGAGCTCACAGCTCCTTATATATGTTCAGAAACTCGACAAAAGTTAAACAAGTACACACCACAGACTGCCTGTGTCATGGTGAATACAGTCGCTGCTTTATTTATGTCTGTATAGGCCGTTGTGAGTGTGGACGGTCAGAGCATATACTGCGTAAGCTTAGCCAATCTCCATCTAGAAAAACACGCATTTTAAAAGGTTTTTCGCCTGCCGTCTGTCTGCAGACTTGACAAAGCATTAATTCATGGTTTTTACTAACCGGTATCAGTATGTTGTTACTTCGGCATCATTTTGAAACGTGTATTACAATTAAATCACGGTCAAATATGTCCATCTTGTTGTAGTTCTAGCCCTCTTGCCAGCGCTCCTCTCTCTAGTTTAGCATACTCAGCCCGACTCAGCCCTGTTTGTTGGCCCCGATAGAACCACAATTTTGTCGGGCCAGAAAAGAGGTGAAAAAGTGGCCCCGGGCCGGGCCGGGCCGTGACTAGGCCTAGTGGAAGCGCAACCAAAAACGGGTACGGCACGACACGACACGCTTAAAGCGAGCTCCGCGCTGTAGTGGAACTGCGGCATTAGTACCCACTACTGGTGCTCTGTATGCAGAGTAGAAAATGCTTGCTGTCACCAGGGAATAGCCGATGTTGCAAGGCACGTTAACAACAAATGCCATCAGGAAAAACAGAAAGCAGTGCAATCCAGCACTGGAATTCAGCAATTCTCAGTTCCACTTCCTTCTGCTGGGGCAATGACTGTCCAAGAAGTGAAGGTTGGTTATGCTCAGTGGTGTTGTGGTTATTTAGTGGATGATAAAGATACTATACTGTTTACATGATAAGCTAATTTCCTAAATAGAGTTTTGCCTTTTTGGAACTAGCATACTCTATTAACTGAATTCATTGTGTACATTCACATATTTCATAATCTAACACCAATCCAACTGTATCTTGTAGACAAGGAGGGCAGAATTAAAGATGGCGGTGATGCTGGCAAACCATAATTGTTAGGATGCGAGGAAAGGGTAGGACCCAAATGCAGACTACAAAACAAGGTAACAAGGTCTAGAAACAAAAGCGAGCTTTATTCCAAAAGCTGAACAAAAACATGGCATGAAACACATAGGTACTACAAAAACTGACCGTGACCAACATGGTGGGAGACAGGAGAAACAATGAACCGACAAGGCACACAGGGGAAGACAAGACTAAATACAGAGAGGGGTAATCACAAGACAAGACACAGCTGGGGTAAGGGAGGCAGAAACACAAGGGCAACAGGTGAACACAATCAAACACACCAGGGAAACTAAGACAGGAAGGCAAACACAGGAAGAAGGAACAGAGAAGACACAAGGAGGAAAACATTTCAAAACAAAACAGGAAACCAGAGACAGAAAAAGACAAGACAAAACACAACACAGACAGATCGTGACACAACCCCCCCCTCAAGGGACGGATCCCAGACGTCCCAAAAAACATAGTCCAACATTTCCAAAAGGGTGGGTGGAGGGGGTCCGGAGGACGGGCCCGGAAGGGGGCCCGGAAGGGGTCCAAAAAGGGGCGAAGGCCACAGCGGGCGAACTCAGGGGGCCGGGCATGAGAGCAAAGGCAGCGGCTCTCAGGGGGCCGGGCCCGAGGGCGAAGACCGCGGCTGGAAGAATCAGGAGGCCGGGCTCGAGGGCGAAGACTGCGGCTGGAAGAATCAGGGGGCCGAGCCCGAGGGCGAAGGCCGCGGCTGGGAAACTCAGGAGGCCGGGCTCGAGGGCGAAGACTGCGGCACTCAGGGGGCCGGGCTCGAGGGCGAACAAGAAGGCGGCGACGAGACAGCTCCGGAGGACGGGCAGGAAGGCGCCGACGAGCAGGACCCAGTATCGGCCGGACAGGAACCGGAGCCGACGGGACAAGCGTAGACGGGGTCCTGAACATGACATGGGCTGGTGTCAATGGGACCCCGGATGGAGCAAGGGCTGGTGTCAACTGGACCCCCAACGGAACAGGACACAGAGTTGGCAGGACCCCCGGTGGAACAGGTGTCGGCGGGACCCCCAACAGGACAGGACACAGAGTTGGCAAGACCCCTGGCAGGACAGGTGTCGGCGGGACCCCCAACAGGACAGGACATGGAGTTGGCAAGACCCCCGGCAGGAGAGTAGTCGGCGGGACGTCCAACATCACAGGACATAGGGTTGGCAGGACCCCCGGCAGGAGAGTAGTCGGCGGGACCTCCAACATCACAGGACATAGGGTTGGCAGGACCCCCGGCAGAAGAGTAGTCGGCGGGACCTCCAACATCACAGGACATAGGGTTGGCAGGACCCCCGGCAGAAGAGTAGTCGGCGGGACCCCCAATGGGACAGGACATGGAGTTGGTAAGACCCCCGGCAGGAGAGTAGTCGGCGGGACCTCCAACATCACAGGACATAGGGTTGGCAGGACCCCCGGCAGAAGAGTAGTCGGCGGGACCTCCAACATCACAGGACATAGGGTTGGCAGGACCCCCGGCAGAAGAGTAGTCGGCGGGACCTCCAACGGTACAGGACATGGGGTAGGCGTCGGCCGTAGAGCCAACAGGACACGGGGGGCTGGCGTCGGCCGTAGAGCCAACAGGACCCGGGGGGCTGGCGTCGGCCGGAGAGCCAACAGGAGACGAGGTGCTGGAGTCGGCCGGACCACCGACAGGACACGAGGGGCTGGAGTGGGCTGAACCACTGACAAAACACGGGGGGCTGGCGTCGGCCGGGGAGCCAGTACTGGAGCCGAAACTGAAGCCGGAACCATGGCTGCTGGGGCCGGAACTGGGGCCGGAACCATGGCTGCTGGGGCCGGAACCATGGCTGCTGGGGCCAGAACTGGGGCTGGAACCATGGCTTCTGGGACCAGAACTGGGGCTGAAACCATGGCTGCTGGGGCCAGAACTGGGGCTGGAACCATGGCTTCTGGGACCAGAACTGGGGCTGAAACCATGGCTGCTGGGGCCAGAACTGGGGCTGGAACCATGGCTGCTGGGGCCAGAACTGGGGTCGGAACCATGGCTGCTGGGGCCAGAACTGGGGCTGGAACCATGGCTTCTGGGACCAGAACTGGGGCTGGAACCATGGCTGCTGGGGCCAGAACTGGGGCTGGAACCATGGCTGCTGGGGCCAGAACTGGGGTCGGAACCATGGCTTCTGGGACCAGAACTGGGGCTGAAACCATGGCTGCTGGGGCCAGAACTGGGGCTGGAACCATGGCTGCTGGGGCACGGGCTGGAATCCTGGCCCTGCGTCTCTTAGAGGCCTTTTGGAGACGCCGTGGACCTCCAACATCACAGTAGTCGGATCCCAGGAAAGGGTTAGAGGCTTGAGAAAAGCTTCCAGGACTACATGTAAAATGTTGTAGCCACTCAGGCAACAAACCCCTGAGCCCGGGCTTGCGAGCAACCTCCTGGCGTGCCTCCTTCAAAGCCGCCACTCTACCCCGTATAGATGTGGCGTCATACCAGGTATAAAAAATGTACTCCAGAGAGTACCCAAGACGTTCCGCCTGTAGCAACAAAAAATCAGAGTCTGCTGAGTCCAATTCTGGTCGGTTCATTCTGTTAGGATGCGAGGAAAGGGTAGGACCCAAATGCAGACTACAAAACAAGGTAACAAGGTCTAGAAACAAAAGCGAGCTTTATTCCAAAAGCTGAACAAAAACATGGCATGAAACACATAGGTACTACAAAAACTGACCGTGACCAACATGGTGGGAGACAGGAGAAACAATGAACCGACAAGGCACACAGGGGAAGACAAGACTAAATACAGAGAGGGGTAATCACAAGACAAGACACAGCTGGGGTAAGGGAGGCAGAAACACAAGGGCAACAGGTGAACACAATCAAACAATCAGACACACCAGGGAAACTAAGACAGGAAGGCAAACACAGGAAGAAGGAACAGAGAAGACACAAGGAGGAAAACATTTCAAAACAAAACAGGAAACCAGAGACAGAAAAAGACAAGACAAAACACAACACAGACAGATCGTGACAATAATCTACCACTGGCTGTCACAGATCATCTGGGGCCACTCATGAAAGAGTGCTTCAAAGACTCACCCACTGCACAGGACTATAAATGTGCAAGGACCAAGACCTCTTGCCTCATAAACAAAGTATTGGCGCCACATTACCAGAACGCACTGGTGATGCTGATGAGGGAGAATCCATACACCATCATTACAGATGGCTCAAATGACACAGGTAGGAATTAAATACCTTTACATCCTGGTATGAACAACATTATTTTTCTTTTTTATTCTAGCCATATTTTTTAAGTATGAGATATATATTTATTTGATGTTCCCTAAGACAATGTGCTAATTTCTTTGTCAATGCAGGAAGAGAAAAGATGAACCCCCTTACTGTGCGTGTGTTTGATGTGAATAGGGTGGCACATCGGTTCCTAGATATGTGCACCACAAGTGGAACCAGATCTGGTACAGCAGAGCTAATCTTCCAAAAGATTGATGCCACCTTACAAAACCACAAGATTCCATGGTGCAACTGTATTGGTCTCTCTGTAGACAATGCAGCCGTGAACATCGGACAACACAATTCAATCGCATCAAGAGTTCTGCAAAACAACCACAGTGTTTATGTACATGGTTGCCCGTGTCATATTTTACACAACACTGCAAAGCGAGCAGGTCTTACCTTTACTGAGGTAAGTGTATGTTGAATATATGTTAAATATTTAGGTGATGTACAGGGGATACAGTTACAAAAAATGTTTAATTGCAGGTGTCACATTTTGATCTGGAGGACGTTGTGGTTGATGTGGGCTTTTGGTTTAAAGGAAGCACCAACCGCAAGGGATTTCTGGCAGGTATCAACTTTCCAGCCAGTTCTACACAAATTATACAAACTAAAATGTAAGTAGTTAACTGGTAATATGCGTCTTATACAACTGTGGAATATATTTCCTTTGAACAGAGTTTTGTGAGCTCTTTGAGTCAGAATACCTGGAAGTCCTACAGCATGCCTCTGTGCGGTGGTTGAGCCTTGAAACCTGTGTGACCCGCATTATGAGATTGTACAAGCCACTTGCCAGCTATTTCCAATCAACAGGTAAGATATATATCCAAATATATGCTATATTATGCAGTCTTGAAATCAACATTATGTGTGTGAGTTGTATCTTTGTTTTCTCTCACTTATAGAGGGGAATCAGCCAAGACTGAAGAGGCTACAGGGAGCCTTTTCTGACCCCATGACTGAAGTGTATCTCCTCTTCTACCAAGCAACCATACCAGCCTTCACCTCTCTGAATCTCCTCTTCCAGAGACAACATCCATCTATATTTTTATTGCAAGATGAGGTATATCTAGAGGAAGTGATTTAAGCCTGCATTCCAGTATTTTGTTAATGTAATATTCGGGTAAGATGTAATACTTTCTTAAATATATTTCAGATGATTACATTCATCCGCAAGCTCTGCTCCAAGTTCCTCTTGCCCACAGTACTGCAGACCCACCTTAAGCCTCAGGACATCCCATATGTGGATAAGGAGAACCATCTGCCTGGTAATTGTAATTTAGTGAAAAGTAAAGTAAGATGAAGTGTGTGTGTATATATGGTAACAGTCAAAAGTCTGGACACACTTCACATTAAATCTAATTATATTGAAGTTTATATATGAATACAATAATGGGATTAGTTCTAGACTGATTGTTTCATGATTTGACACAGAGAAAAAAAGCCTTCAACAACTGGGCATGTTCAGACCTTTGTATAGTACAGTATTTATATGTGTAATTGTCTTTTGGAATTACATGAGTAATCATTCAAATGCTATAATGAAGCTCACGGAAAGGTGTGTATGTAAGTGCTTTTATGAAAGTACATTGGATTTGATTGTGTTTTCTGCATCTCTAACAGGATACAAACTGAATGTCGGCTTCATCACCAGGGTGAGGCTCAATCATCTCCTGGATGCTGGGGACATCACCGCCCAGAAAGTGGAGTTATTCCACACCGCATCCCTCAACTTCTTTGTGAAAGCTGTAGAGCAGGGCTATTCAATTAGTTTGGAATGGGGGCCGGTTGATGAAAATGATCCAAAGCAAGGGGCCGGGAAAAAGATGGCTTGAAATATGAGCAATCATATTTAAGAGCTTCAGATACAGTAAATACTACAACAGCATAGTGGAGTGCATATATTGTGTTTAATTCAATCAAACAACATAGCTCCAAGGCCTTTATAGATCTAAATGGCAAGTTCAGAACTCAGTAGGCCTACATGTTTCATTTGATTTCATTGAGGTGAAATGATCTAATCATTCACGCAGAGATGCAATCAATGACAGGAGTTGTCACTACAGTATAGTAGGTGGGTTCGAAACCCGAGCCCGTCGAAGTTTTCAGGCATTGTCTACCCCTCTATCTCTCAATGTAACACCCTCTCTGGAATAAAGGCACTATGGCACAAAAAAAAAAAAATTGATTACTTTTTAACATTATACTCAAAGGGCCAGTAAATATCACCCCGGGGCCGGATTTGGCCCGCGGGCCGCCAATTGAATAGCCCTGCTGTAGAGTATGCTCTACAAAGGCTGCCTCTAAGTGAGCCCTTGCTGAAGCATGCCAGGTTTCTTGATGTGAGGCAGAGGGCAGAATGTGGGGTGGAGGATGCCCTCTACTTTGTTGACAGGTAAAATGTATATATTAATTTATTTTCTAATTCTTCAGAAATTAACAACCAATATAAACAAATATACCAACTACTCAGTTTCACCTTTACCTTTGAAGTATATCTCAAAGTGAATAGAAGTTTGTAACTCTACCTTTGTTTTTCTTCAAAAAAGGTATGCCCACCTTCTCCCCTACCACAGCCCACAAGATCATGACTCATTGGGGGAGGAGTTCCTGGACTACCAGACCATGCCTGTGCCAATATTGGAAGCAGACCCAGATATTGAGGGCTTCTGGGCCAACATGGCCAGTTTAAAACACAAGGTCAGATATCTAAGTGTGTCTCATTCCACAATGTGGACTAATTTCGAGTGACATGTGTGTATTCATTGTGCAACTTAACCCTGTTGTTCATGTTTTACAGGTGACAGGTGTGGGCAGGTTTGATAGACTCTCCACTGTTGCCAAACTTGTGTTAGTCTTGCCACACTCAAATGCTGACGCAGAGCGAGTGTTTTCTGTGGTGGGACTAAACAAAACAAAAACAAGGAACAGCCTGGCCCTGGAGGGGACACTGTCGTCTCTCATGACAATAAAGATGGCAGACTTGGAGCCATGCTTTAAGTGGGAGCCAACCCAATCAATGCTAAAGGCTGCAAAATCTGCCACCAGCAGTTACAACAGACCAGACCACAGCCAGAGCACAATATAGGTTTATGGAAACTACCTCTAATTGAATCAAGTTAATCCCTGTCAAGTTATGTATGTAAATATTTTTTTAATGTAAATAGTTTGTACATGTTCAATAAATGTGTAACACTGTACACATGAACGTTTCTTTTTTTGTATTTTTTTTTTGTGGTGACTAACCCCCGAAAATGTCCTAGCACCCTACTCTGTCCAGACGCATGTGGATTATATAAAAGAAAATGAACTGCATTATTCAGTGGCAAGTGATGCATCAAACAAAGGTACGATCAAGTGTTTCCCCAATACTGTACTGAGATATTTTCACTTTGAGGAGGGCGTGCAACATGCACTGTTGGATTTTTACAGTGATAGCAACGAAAAGTCAGAAGCTATAACAAATCAGCTGCTATCTAAACTGGAGATGTCTGGACTATGTGAAAAAAATGTCAGCATATGCAGCAGACAACGCCAGCGTTAACTATGGAAAACAACAGTGTTTATCAGAAACTGAAACTGGCTCAAAAAGACGTGCTCGCTGCAAACTGTTTAGCCCATATTCTGCACAATGCAACAAGATATGCAGCAAGCAACTTGGATATTGACATTGAAAATGTTGTGCTAGAAGCTGTTTCTAAAACAAGGAGAGGGAGAGCTCTCTGCTGTCAGACTGAGAGAGATAACTACAGCTCAGTGAGTTAAGGGACTCTCTGAGTGTTTAGATAGTTAGTTTAGTCTAGTTATCTCAGTGGGTCTCAAACGGTTTGGTCACCATTTATGAGAATAAATGAAAAACAGTTATGAAATACTATATGACAGTAAAACAAGAATACAGTTTAAAAGGTGAGTGATTTGTAAAATATCCATAAAGAAAAAGAAAATCTGTTTAAAGTTGTGTTTCATATGGGTGTTGAGAGATGTATCCTTAAATTCATTTTGCTCTCAAAGTGCACCAGATTGATGCATTTAACTTCAATATTTAAAAAATAAATCTTCCCGGGGGAGCATGCCCCCGGACCCCCTAGAGGAGGTGAGGACCACCCCCACTTATAAAATAGCACTTTACCCCTGCTTACACCTATATGCCATTTTATATGCTGTGAGCTGATTATCGAGCCTTCATTGTAAGAGTCGCGGGTACACTGTGTATGTGCGTACTCCACTGTAGCGCCCGGTACATTAATGGGAAACCCTAGTTTGTACTTGTTCAATACATTTGTAACACTGTACACATGGACGTTTCGTTTTTCGGTTCACCAAAAAAAAAAAATCTCACTCCAAGCTGAACTCAAATGTTGGCAGCCCTGTAAATGGTAGTACTAGTAACTCATTAATAAATGGTGATTTGTTTAACACTTTACAAGGCTCCCTTTTGGCAGTTATAAATGTTAGGAAGTTTGAATAATTTCAACGTATAATGCTTTCCTAATGCGATACTTAGAAAACAAAAGAACAACAAACAAAAAATAGGGTTATTGCTTCAATTAGCATTAGATTCAGACTTTTAGCTTGACATGTATGTAGCCGATATGTTTAGCACCTATTTTAAAAGATTGCTTTTTATAAAATTACTTTTCTTACATCCAACTCATGAAGATATCTTTAGCTTAATTAGCCAGCTATCTGCAGCTAACCCGATCACCTTCCTTTGTCTACATTAATGGGACATTGTTTTAAAATATATTAATAATTTCCGGAGGTTAAGTCAATGGTGAAAGAGTGTTTGATTGCTTATGAGTTCAACTTCTCACTTGTAAAAGGAAGATTGTGTTATTTTTTGTTTTAAATGTCAACTTCTCTTTTTTTCTCTGTGTTTATATGTGATGAAGGTTTTAAAGTGTAATGTCTTTAAAAAGTATTTTTCCTTTTTCATCAAGTCTTTATGTCAACACATAAATAAATATAAATGAGCAATGTGCAGTCCAATCAGCCGAGTTCCTCCCACTTCACGCTAGTTTGATTTCGAGCAAACCCAAGAATGATTGAAGTCCTACAGCCGGCCATTAAACTTCAATGCATTTTGGCTTCTGCATTCAGTGCAGTTCAACATGATTTAAGAGTTTTTAGAAATGAAATATCGGCAAACATGAAAGGTTAGTTTTATGGTCTAATCAATAGATGGCTTGTTTTAAGAATCCATCAAAAGTTGCGTTGGCTTCATCGTACTTCCTGGCTTTTTAATAGACTTTCTTCCTCCAAGTTCTTTTGTCCTTCATCTTTGCTTTGAACAAATGTCGGCTGTGAGTCTACCTTTACCTGATTATATACCTTTACCTCCTTTTTCTCTCCTACCTCTTTGTAATGAGAAAAATGTTGTGGAGAACACATACCATTTTTTTAAAGGAGAATATCTCTCTAAAAAGACTTGGCAAGTGGTGAGAGTTAGTGAGTCAGGATGTGTAGGCAGTATTGAAAATACACTGTACTCGGATATGGAAATCATTTGCCCTGCTGACAAACATGTCCCTTTTCTGATATGTAATCTGGCAACTCTAAACCAAGACTGATGTAGAAGGTGAATTAATTTGTGTTTTTGGTACGTATGCGTTTGATCATTGGAAAAAACACCATTAAATGCTGATTCATTGCGATGTGTGCAAAGCTGCAACCCGAGGAAAGGGATTAGCAAATTACAGCCTTGCCCGACAAACTTCAGATGCAGCCAATTTGATTGCAAGAAATACTTCATCTGAAGAACAAAACA